ATCCGTCGGTTTCGTAAACCGTCGGAAATCCGTCGGTTTATTAAACCGTCGGATATCCGTCGGTTTAGTAATCTGTCGGAATTCCGTCGGAACTCCGTCGGACAACGATATACTGACGGATTTCCGACAGCTTTCCGACGGAATTTCTATTTCCGACGAGATAGAAACGACCGACCAAAACCGTCGGAAAGCCGTCGGAAAAGGGTTGTTTCCGACGGAATTCTGACGGTTTTGGTCGTCGGAATTCCGCCTGTTTTCTTGTAGTGGTAGCTTCATCTTTTGTTTTGTGGTCTAAACCAAAGTTTCAAACTTTGCCCATATATACTGAAATTGATTTAAAGTTAGGGCTGGGCAAATATCTGTGAGATCCGCTTTGATTCATTATCCGTTTCGTTTCGATCCAAAAAATCCGTAACTTTACAAAGCAAAGCAAATATTAAAATTCAATATTCGTTAAAAACAAAACAAATCACAAATATTAAAATTTCATAAACCGATATTCGCTCCGCTCTATATATTTTAAATAATTATATATATATGTAAGTTTTATGAATTTTTTATTCATTAAATTAATTATTTCAATATTGAAGATTAAGAAGAAATTATTATTATTTTAAATTAAAAAGTTTGTCACTATCGAAAAGAAGTTCTAATTACGGTTAATTTCGGCAATCTACAAACCGAATTTCCGAACCAAACTGGACCGAAGATTATCATTGCATTCCGGTTTATCCGTCCGCTGTATTCCGGTTTCTTTAATCATTGACGACTTCGTATTCCTATGTGTCTTTGATCGTTGACTTCGTTTGGTTGGAATAAGAATTTTTCTGGGTCTGGTTTGGAAGGTAACAACAGACAACATTATTCTGCATGTTACATCGGACTCTTCTGTGTCCGAGACGCCTCAAATTTCTGCTATCCGCTAGTAAATACAGGCGACAAATCAATCAGGTCCAAGCTTTCGTAATCACGACTGGTAATTTACTTCATGGAAGCTCCACTAGCGGAGATCTCGTTGCTTCATGTGGCCGAATCGGCGAGATTTCTCATGCCCGTAAGCTGTTCGACCAATTGCCTCAGAGGAGTGTTTCTGTTTACAACTCCATGATTGTGGCGTATTCCCGTGGCAACAAACCAGATGAGGTTCTCCGCCTTTATGATCAGATGGTAGCTGAAAGGGTTCAACCAGATAGCTCAACGTTCACTATGACGATCAAGGCGTGCTTAAATGCTATGGTTTTAGAGAAAGGAGAGGCAGTGTGGAGTAAAGCAATCGAATGTGGGTATGAAAATGATGTCTTTGTCTGTTCATCTGTCTTGAATCTGTACATGAAGTGCAGGAAGATTGACGAAGCGGAGATTCTTTTCAGAAAGACGACGAAAAGAGATCTTATTTGCTGGACAACAATGGTGACAGGGTTTGCACAGGCTGGTAAGTCGTTGAAGGCAGTTGAATTCTACAGAGATATGCAAAATGAAGGATTTGGTAGGGACATAGTCGTGATGCTGGGTCTTTTACAAGCTTCTGCTGATCTCGGGGATCCGAAAATGGGCCGTTCTGTACACGGGTATTTGATCAGAACAGGTCTTCCCATGAATGTTGTACTTGAAACCACCTTGGTTGATATGTATGCAAAGGTCGGGTTTATAGAGCTTGCTTCTAGGATTTTCAATAGGATGATGTATAAAACCGCAGTCTCGTGGGGGTCGTTGATCTCGGGATTTGCCCAAAATGGGTTTGCCAACAAAGCATTTGAAGCAATAGTAGAGATGCAGAGCCTTGGGTTTCAACCAGATCTAGTGACTCTTGTTGGGGTACTTGTGGCTTGTTCGCAGGTCGGGTCATCAAAGACCGGTAGATCGGTACATTGTTACATCTTGAAAAGGCACATTCTTGATCAAGTAACCGCAACCGCGCTGATGGACATGTATTCAAAATGCGGCACTCTTTCAAATTCAAGAGAAATCTTTGAACTGATAGGAAGGAAAGACTTGGTTTGTTGGAACACAATGATATCTTGTTACGGCATCCATGGAAACGGTCAAGAAGTTGTATCGATGTTCCTCAGAATGACAGAATCAAAGATAGAGCCCGACCACGCGACGTTTGCATCCCTTCTCTCTGCTCTTAGCCACTCGGGTCAAGTAGAACAAGGCCAACATTGGTTCAGCGCCATGATAAACAAATATAAGATCCAACCAAGCGAGAAACACTACGTTTGTTTGATCGATCTTCTTGCACGTGCAGGGAGAATCGAAGAAGCTCTTGACATGATAAACTCCGAGAAACTTGACAGTGCTTTGCCCATCTGGGTTGCTCTTCTTTCAGGATGCATCAATCACAGGAATTTAGCAGTTGGAGACATCGCGGCCAATAAGATTCTCCAGTTGAATCCAGATAGCACCGGGATACAAACACTGGTTTCTAACTTCTTTGCAACTGGCAAAAAGTGGAAGGAAGTGGCCAAAGTGAGGAAGTTGATGAGAAGTGGAACCATGGAGAAAGTACCAGGCTACAGTGTGATCGAGGTGAATGGAGAGCTTAGAACTTTTCTCATGGAGGATCTTAGCCACCATGAGCATTATCACATGTTGCGAGTATTGAGAAACTTGAGTTCTGAGATGAGCAATGTATATACATCCATTTCTGAATATGTTATTTTTCATTAGTGATATCGATCAGTACGATGCAAAAAAACAGAGCCATCGGCCCGGATATAAATCTGTTGAGCTAACACCACCAACAAAAAAAATAAAGGACATTAAAGATGACTTTTCTTTTCGAGATTCAAAGGAACAGCAAACCGGACTGATTTGTATTTTACTGAGAAGAGAAATTGGTAGAAGAAGATTCCAAAGAGACGAGGTTGTTGGGGTCTTGTGAACTAACGGTCGTTCCATTGAGAAAAGCAGAGTACCAAAGAGCAGAGGTTTTTGGAGATCTTTTACGTTCCGGATCGCTGAAATTCACATAGTATAATCCATATGTGTAATTGACATCGAGAACCTCGAACAAATCCATGAACGACTACTGGAAGTAGCCTCTTGTATCTGACCCATTTCTGCATAATAAATTGTTGCCGTTTAGTATTTGTGACGATTTCATGCAAGTCTTCCCAAAGAGCACGCTATAACTATGTACCTCACTGAATTGAGCACGGCAGCGATATAAGCCTGAAGATATTCCACTCTTCCCACGTCGTTAAGTGATGAATAGTGGTTGACCTGATCGTGTATTTGACAGAGAATTGTCAAAATCCGTACTATTTG